AATGTGGGACTTGAACTTATGACTCGGAGACCAAGAGTCACATGCTCTACTTATGGACGCAAGCAGGTGCCCCAAAGTTTTGTTTTGTTTTGTTTTGTTTTAAATGCCACTCACCATGAAAGATTTATTTGCTCTCTTTGAAAAATAGTACACAGAGTTTGTTGTTGTTATTTTTTAAACTAAACTCTACACCCAATGTGGGGCCTGAACTCATGACCCCAAGATCAAGAGTCACATGCTCTACTGACTGAGCCAGCGAGGCACCCAAGACAAAGTTCTTTATATCTTCTCCCTGGAATGTAATTGTCTGCTGGTTACATTTAGTCAAAAAATTATATTTGTTGTAGAATATCAAATATATTCACTTAAATTGTAAACTAACTATATCAATCAGATTCACCGCTATATAAATTGTGTAGGCTTTTCTGACATTTGGAAAAAATCTCAAAGTTCTATGTCTGTTTTTTCTTGATGCGTATCAGCATCTAACTCTGAAACTATTAAACTATGGCTGTTATAATATATGGTAAGCAAGTATCAAGGATACAGTCAATGAGGTAGCCAGGATGATAAAGCAAGTTCCGAGGAAGAAATAAGAAATCGTTATGGAAAAAAAGAATGTCAGAATAAAGTTGCACAGCCTAAAAAAACAAAACAAAACAAAAAAAACCCCAAAACAAGCAAAGAAACACCCAAAAATCAAAAGCCAAAAACTAAAACAAAACTGGTTAATATCTTATAGAGTGAAAAAACTAAAACCTTTGGAATTATCTTTTCAGCTATACCAGACATCATTTGCAATTTATCAATGTTCTGCAAGTTAACACCTATATTAGTTTCCTACTGCTGCTATAAAAAATTACTGTAACTAGAGAGCTTAAAACAATACAGATTTATCTTACAGTTCTAGAGGTCAGATATCCAAAAAGAGTCACACTGTATTAAAATCAAGATATGAGCAGGGCTGTGTTCCTTCTGGGGATTCTAGAGGAGAACCTATTTTATTGCCTTTTCCAGCTTCTAGAGATTGCCTACCGCAAGACCTGGCTTTTCAGGAGTTCGAACCCTAATAAACAGTAAGTATATAAATTTCCCTAGAGTAATATTGTCCAATATAACTTTCTGAGATGATGGATATAGTCTCTTCTGTGTTGTTCAATATGGTACCCACTGACCACACATAGGTAGTGAGTACTTGAAAGGTGGCTAGGACAAATAAGGAAATGAGTTTTTTATTTAATTAATCAAAATTTAAATTTAAATAGCCACATGTGGCTAGTGGCCACCATACTGGACAGAGTATCCCTAGAGCATCAGAATACTCTAGAATGAGCTTATTAAATAGTACTGAAGTATGACATTGAAAGGTCACACAGTATTTTTTCCCCCTCATTTCCAGGTGTTGGAAAGTTTTTCTTAACATATGTAAGTAAAATAAATAGTGACTCTAACAGATTAAAATCCAATAATAATAACAATAACAATAAAATCCAATTTCAATAACAATGTGATTTCTTTGTCAAAGAACTATAGCTTCCTTCCTTTTACTTTTCTTAGTTCTGGCTCCTGGGTTTCTGGGTTACATATTATAGATTTCATAAATACTTTGAATAGAGCATTTCTGTCTGCTTTTCCTTAGTCAAAGATGTGCAAGTATCAGTTTGAGATAGAACCTGTGGTAAAGGATGAGTAAAACATAGTTCTTGCCATCAGGCTAGAAAGGGAGGATACACATGTAGACAGATAGATGGTGTGATAGACGAACCAGTTACAGTATGGGTGGGATGGAGAAAGGATCACTTCCACCCAAAACTGTGTCTGTTAGCCTTAGCAAGAAGGTTTGTTGGCATAGTGGGTTGAATAGTGTTCTCCTGAAGTTCACGTCTACCTGGAACCTCAGAATATGACTTTGTTTGAAAATAGAGTCTTTACAGACATAATTAGTTAAGAGGACGTCATACTGGATTTGGGTGGGCCCTAAATTCAATGGCTGGTGTTCCCCTGAGAGAAAAGAGAAAGACAGATGGACCCAGATACACAGGGAAGAAGGCCATGTGACAATGGGGCAGAGTTTGGGGTGATGTAATGACAAGCCAAGAAATGCCACGGAAGAGGCAAGAAAGGGTTCTTCCCTAAAATCCGTGGCCCAGCTAACACCTTGATTTTGGACTTCTAGCCTCCAGAACTGTGAAAGAATAAATACCTAGGCCATCTAGTTTGTGGGAATTTGTTATGGCAGCCCTAGGAAACTAATAAACCTGGTAAGATACTGGCTAGCCGATGAAATTGAGGGCAGAACTGAAGAAGCAGGCCTTGAGATGCACAGGGACAGGGGTGCCTCTGAGGACCTAGCAGCAAGCTTGTGGACTTGTTCCCCATAACTGGCCATCCAGGCAATCTGTTCCAGTGGCCTTTTAACCTTGTGTACCTTCCTCAAGAGTCTAACTCTCAGGAGACACTCAGACCCAGCTTTATCCTATGCCTTTCCCAGTAGCCTTCTTGGAACACATGGAGTAGAAGATAAGAGACTTCCCAAAGGAAAAGACTCCAGGCAGATAAAAACAAGTGTTGACTGCTACACAAATTATAGTACAGTTCTTTTTGGAAGAAAAAACTGTCTTGTTGAATGGTACTCTTTTACTCAATGAGGGTAGGTGGTTACAGATGTTGAGAGAGATTATCCAGGAAGCTATGTGCAGAAGGGTTTGGAGCAAGACCAGGTAGACAGCTGGTAACATCATCTAAATATGAAGATAAGGAGTGTGGAGACATCTGTCCTACTATGGTGGCTATGCCAAGGAAAAGAACATTCTTGTTTTGTACTCCATGATATCTTGGTATCCGCTCATTCAAGGTTGTGTAGGGAGACTGAGAAAACGTCTTTATTTTCTGTCTCCAACTATTTCTGCCTGATTTTCAAACTCCTTTTTGGCATCTTATGAATCAGAAATCATATCTTTCTTCTATTTGTCTACCTAATTATATGAGACAGATCAAATATTAATTTTCACTGTTCCAGAGGTAGAGCTGGGAGCAGGTTGCTTTTCCTTTACACGAGAGAACACCTGCTCAGAGAACTGAGGTTAAAAAGGCCAGAGTACAAATGCTTCCTGTGCCCCAGACCCATGGGAGAGAAACAGGAGGATCCACGGAGCAATGGTGGGTGTAAAGCATTATATTCCTCACTGTTACAGACACTAGGGTGCTGCTGACATGGGGAAGGGGGTAGACAGAGAGATGGGGGACTAGCACCTTACTCAGTGGGTCCAGCAGTGTAATCCAGGTAGAAACCAGGTGCTTGTCCTGACACCTTAGACTTCCCCTACGATCCTGACGTTTGGTCATTATGTCCCATCCCTGTGTGGAACCAGCTGAGAGTAACTTTAATCTTGACAAGAGTGGCTGGGCATTCTGGGACCTTCTATTCCTGAAGGAAAAAATAGTAGCTAATAAAAGTGGTTACATTTTGTGCTTGTGTGAGAATTGGCTGGATGGGGATGGTATGAGAGTTAGTCCTTGTACTGTATACCTATTTTATATTTTTGAATGTATTACTAATTTAAAACCTTTAGTATCCTTTAACAACACTTACTGAGCCCAAAGAACTGATTTCAAGTATGTGGTTTCAACTATGCCTTTTTGAAAAAGTATTTGATTGATATCCATGCAATTAAGATTTTAGTGCATCAACTCACATAAATAACTTTTCTGCAGACCCCTTTATGTTTATTCCTTCATAGTTCTCAACTGTGGCAAATAGAAAATAAATACCTAGTAACCATCCGTAGTCCTGACAGACCAAATTTTACAAAATATGAATTATATTTACCATTGTTTAAAATGATAGAGATGATAAAACAAATTTATCATTTCTTATTACTTTCTTCTTTAAAAAAATTTTTTTTAAATGTTTATTTATTTTTGAGAGAGAGCAAGAGATAGCGTGTGAGTGAGGGAGGGGCAGAGAGAGAGGGAGACACAGAATCTGAAGCAGGCTCCAGGCTCTGAGCTGTCAGCACAGAGCCTGATGCGGGGCTTGAACTCACAAGCCATGAGATCATGACCTGAGCTGAAGTCAGATTCTTAACTGACTTAGCCACCCAGGTGCCCCTCATTTCTTATTATTTTCAATAACTTTTGAATCACTTTGCCCTGGCTACTCCCACTAAGTTCCCCAGCTCTTCTGCTCACAAAAATCTTGCATAATTTTTTTTCCTGCCCATGACCCTTCTGTTCTTGTCTCCTTTCTCTTTGTGCTCCAGTCCCACTTCCTCCCTTAGGCTCCTGTGGCCTAGTGGAATCTCCAAAGTCAGCATAGAGGCCTGTGGACAGGCCTGTGGACAGCCGTGTTGTGTCTCAGTCCCTGCAAGCAGATTTACTCACTGCCTCCAGTGACCTACAGCCTCCTGCAGGCTGTACGACAATCCTGATCTTGGCCTTCACTCCCAAGCCACCCAGCACTCTCAGCCAGCCTCACCTCAGTCACTTCAGGAGTCACTGTAGACAATGGCTTAGAGAGCTTTATCACATGAGTTCTGGCTGACAGAGACTTTCTGGTCAAATAAGGCCCAGTTCATATTCCGGTTTCTCCTCCTCTGAAGGCCTCCAAAACTCAGATTAATGGAATTTGGTGGATCCTGCATTCTAAAGTACAACATCGGGGTGATTACAATTAAACTTGTGCTCCGTGTTTACCTACTTCAGAATATGGGAAGTTGAGCAGTGAAGTATTTCTGAAACTGATACTAGATTGGGTGTTTTTTATAAACAAAAAAATTAAAGGGTTTTATGATACATTGAAAATGTTTTTACATTGCCCTTTATCTCCAAATTCCAAAAGAATGTTAACCAGTTGAATAGCTGATCTACATGAGGAAAATACAACTCCTTTGTTGTCCAATGCCCAGACATGGACACATAGCTAATCCACAGTAAGAACAAAACAAAATTGTAGATCTCTTGTGGTGTCCCTACCTGTGGCCACCCAATCAAACACATCCTTGAGGAAAGTAATCACATGTTTATTTACTGAGAAGTGTCTTCCACTCTAGGATCACAACCTGTATTACTAGTCAGTCCAGTTAGATTGGAGGCATACACAAAGAAAAAAGTTTGCTTTTAGAGCAATATTTACGTGATGTCTTCACAAACAAATCAAACTTAAACTTGGCTACTGTGGATATTGCAATGCTTATCTGGTGACCTCTAGGCTAAAATGTCTAAGCAAATAATGATTTATCTTGTTAGCCTAATCAGGCTTGAATAATGTTTCTAAAATTTGTCTTTTCTTCCACAACAGTGTATCAGTTTGGATTAACAAACCATCTTTTCACTTGTGAAAAACTGAAACACCTGGAAACAAAAAAAAAGAAAGGAGAGTAATTATAAAAGTGTGCAAATCCCCCAGGTTTTGCATGCAAGGAAAACAATAAGTAGTTGAAAACTTGGATTGGTAAGCTTTACGGATGTGAATAAGTATGTTTAGGTAGTTACTTATTCTTTCTTGGCCTCCATGTCTTCATTTATAAGAAGCTGGATGAGCTCAAAGGTTTTCACACATTTTTAGCAAAGGTTGAAAATGTTATGGGAAAACACCCACCCATATATGATTTTAGTGTGGTATAAATTTAATGTCAATGTTTAACACTTGCTTATATAGCAAATATGTGAAAACGATAATGCTACTTTGAAGAATGCAAAAACCTGAAATGGCAGGTAAAGATTGACAGTTAAAGACTCAGAATGCAATTTATATCTGCATTTTATTATTTTTTAAGTTTATTTATTTATTTTGAGAGAGTGTGAGAGAGAGTGTGTGCGAGCACATGAGCAGGGGAGGGGCAGAGAGACACAGAGAGAGAATCCCAAGTAGGCTCCATGCTGTCAGTGCAGAGCCCCATGGGGGTCCTGAACCCACGAACCCATGAGATCATGACTGGGCCAAAACCAAGAGTCAGACACTTAACCTATAATCACCCAGGTGCCCCTGCATTTTATTTTAATTGCACAGCATGGAGATAATTCTGACACACAAATAGTTGTAAGTGGTAAAGTACCAAAAGAGATTTTTATGGTTTGGTTTTGATTTTTGTTTTTTAAATTTTTCTAGAACTGTGAGAATGGTCTTTATTTTGAAATTTGTACAAAAACTTGACAATCCAGTTCATTCATTGGCGGTCTCCAATTTGTTAAAATTTGGCATTTAGCTGGGGCGCCCGGGTGGCTAAGTCGGTTGGATGTCCGACTTCAGCTCAGGTCATGATCTCACAAACTGTGAGTTGGAGCCCCGCATTGGGCTCTGTGCTGCAGCTCAGAGCCTGGAGCCTGCTTCGGATTCCGCATCTCCCTCTCTCTCTGCCAACTCCCCTGCTCTGTCTCTCTCTCTCTCTCTCTCTCTCAAAAATAAATAAATGTTAAAATTTTTTTTTAAAAAAACCATAAAATTTGGCATTTAGCACATCTGAGTGTGTATGTGTAGCTTTCCTTTAGTGAGTACGGTGTCAGGCATGATGCTGAGTACTTTATAAACCTTGTTTTATATAGGGATTAGAGTGAATTTGCCATCATGTCCACATTGAATGTTAACACTTGAAAAGAAAGAGGTAGAGAGAGAGAGAGAATAAAGAACTAGATAGACATTCTGCCTTCTATACATGGGTATATGTGCTTTCATTACTATTTTATAATAATTTAAAATATAGTTTAAAACATTAGCTGTTTTGATTTTTGTTATTGTGAAAGGAGAAACAAAAATATCATCAATTATTTAGTCGGATTTAGCAAAACTATCCATGCAAGTTCTTACGTGACAAGTAACAATGGAATTAAACATATATCTGTTAATACGCATGGGTTGTTTTAGACATTTAATTGGAAAATTCGAGTTTGATGAAAATGTTTTTTCTCTGAATCTATGACGTAGTTCTCTTCTGCTTTCATTTTTTCTAATGTTGCCCAGTAAGTGTGCAGAAAAGCAGTTTAGTTTTCCAACAATGAAAATTTCTTTTTGTCAGCAGATATTTCCCAGGCACTTTTGGTGGCCACCCTCCAAAGTCTTCAGTGCTCTGAGTTTTGTGTTAAGCTGCAGTACAAAACTGTAGCAGTTAAACACAACAAATGCAGCTAGATACCTCTTTTATTTTATTTTATTTTTACTTTTTAAAATGTTTATTTATTTATTTAGAGAGAGAGAGAGTGAGCAGGGGAGGGGCAGAGAGAAATGAAGAGAGAGAATCCCAAGCAGGCTCCACACTGCCAGCACAGAGCCTGACACAGGGCTCAATCTCATGAATGCTGAGATCATGACCTGAGCTGAAATCAAGAGTCAGACCCTTAACCGACTGAGCCACCCAGGTGCCCCCAGATACTTCTTTTAAATAGCACTAGTTAATTATAAATGCAGGAAGCAATAGATTTTAATGTAGTGCTTTGTACTCAAGATATGATTCTCAAAAGAATTAGGGAGTAGGATCTTTAAAATATCTTAATCCACAACGTTCTTGTTTTAAATTTTATTTTAAAATGAAAAGAAAAACTGGTGCAGGTGCCTGGCTCAGTCAGTGGAGCATGCGACTCTTGTTCTTGGGGTTGTGCGTTCAACCCCATGCTGTGTATAGAGATTACTCAAAAATAAAATCTTTAAAAAGATAAATAAATAAAATGAAAACAAAAGCTGGTACTATGTTTTTCTTGGGTAAAATACCCTGAATTTCCTTGTCAGCATCCAAAGCCATGTATTGTTTAGTGTTAAAAAATTAAAATGTTGAATAAAGCTTAAAAATGAAACTAGATTTATACAATTGTGCAATCCTAAATTTCCATAGAACACAGTTGGAAAAGCTACTGGACTGGCTCATCTTTTTTTTTTTTTTTCCTTTTTTTCTGAGTAATTATATTTCAGCTTAATGATCTTACCTTTTAGGAAATGACAGCAGTGTTACGCTATAGGGATAGACCAAGGTTTAAATGTCTTAGGGTCATCTCTTGGGATCTAAGAAAGAAACCAAATTAGATACTTAATGTTCATAATGCCATTGCAATATTTCATGAGAAAAACAAAGTTTTGAAAATCCTTAGGTTTTGAAAAATTTTCTGACAGAAGGAGGCAGGACTTTCCTGAGGAATGGGACGGTACCATTCCTTTCAAGTGATAACTCTGAAGAGACAGGGATTTGGTGTTGTGATCTCTGCTACACTTAAATGTTGTTTTAAGAGGGCACTTTGATGTTACCTATTTTCTTTGCTTCCCAGATGTGAATCCCAAAGAGAATTCCAAATCTTGTGAAAATGTTTGGGGGAAGACAGTGGGAAGGGAACAGTGGGCAGGCTGAGTTACTTGCACTGGAGCCTACAGACTTGGTTTCCTCTGCAGTGATTTGAGAACAGCCCTGTCTACACCTTTAGCCAAATGATTTGTGTGATTCAGTGCCCTTGCTAATTAACTCCCAGGCTCATTCTACTATCCTCGGCTACAAGCCCCCAAGAGTTTGACCTGTTTATCTTCCTCCTTGTGGTCCTCAGTTCCTGTCTCCTCTGCTGGGAATTCACTCCCTTAGGTCTGGCAGAAAGCAGATATTCCTTCCCTCTGCTGTTGTCCTGTTTTTGTTTGAAGAGTTGACTTTTATTACAAAGGTGTTAAAAGAAAAAACAAACTTCCCATAAATAATGAAGAGTTATGAAGATTCCAAAAAGCTTTTCTTCTAATATTTCTTTCACAAAAATACAAAAAGAAGACAAAGAACAAAAATGAACAAAAAACCTCAACTCTGTAACCTGTTATCCTGACAAATTCTGTTCTGTTTGTTCTTAATCTGTATTGAAATGTAAATGGGGGGCTAGGTTTGCTGTTCTCAAAGGGCCTCCCTGCATTCTTTACTTAACTGGGGCTCAGGGAGTTGCTTGGCTATCTTGTTTAGAATCAGCCTGTTGCGCCTGGGCAGGGCAAGACATCAGACAAAGCGCCTCAGTCTGGTCTGAGGTGATTTCAGGTCAGCTCCTCTGCTAAAGGGAATGGAATTTTTAGTCTCTTCCAAAACCTGCTTCCAATTCTTTTCACCAGACCTGGGCTTCTGGGGTGCCCTTCTGCTTTGGAACACAGATCAGTAGTTATTCCCAGCCTTCTTGAGTCTTACCAACTCCCTAGGTCCTGGAGTGAGGACTTAACCTCCTTCCTTCTTCTTCTTCTTCTTCTTCTTCTTTTTTTTTTTTTTTTTTTTATTTCAAAGGTCCCAGGTATGGGACTTAAGCTGCTCTTCCCTGGCTTTTGGTGATCTTCCCTTTATCTTCTCTTTTGCTTGGTGCCCTCATCCTTTTCCTTCTCTATTCTATTTCTCCCTGTTGGTTCTCTATAGCTATAATTAAGGCAATTTTCACTATGAGTATCAAGACTGATTCTGCTTTTCATTAAGTCTCTGCTTCTGAGATCTATCTGACCTAATTTCTTTGGTCCAAGGTCTAGTAACAATAGATATTTGCCATCAGTTCAGGAATTCATCATCATCATTGTTCAGTAAAGGATTAAGTCAGCAGGCCTGGGTAGTCCAAACCCTGCATATTCCAAAGAAAGTTTTAGCTCCTGACCAGCTCCTGGGAGGTAACACCAAAGCCCTAGCAATCCCACCTGATAAGATGTCTTTGTTTACCTGGGGCCTTGTGTCATGTGGTATCATTTGACCTCTGGAAGAGCTGGACACTGAGTAACTAAGATCAGTATGCAGATAACTTACGCCTACACGACTGATCTCTAATAAAAACCCTTGACACCAAGGCTCAGGTAAGCTTCTTTGGTTGGAAAAACCTTGTGTATCTTCTCGTACATCATTGCTGGAGAATTAGGTGTTGTCTATGTGACTCCGCTGGGAGAAGACAACTGGAAGCTTGTGCCTGGTCTCTCCTGGACTCTGCCCTATGTTCCTTTTTCCTTTGCTGATGTTAACCTCTATCTTTTCACCATAATAAACCATAACCATGAGTATACCAGCTTTCCTGAATTCTGTGAGTGCATCTAGTGAACCATTGAATCTGAATGTGGTCTTGTGGACTTTTAACTCAGTCTTCTTCATTATCATCACCATCATCATCCTCACCATCAATGTGTGCATTGACCATTTACTATGTGTGACAACTGCAAAATGCTTTTCATGTGTTATCTTTTTTTTTTTTTTTTTTTGAGAGAGAGAGACAGAGAGCACATGAGTGAAGGGGGGGACAGAGAGAGGGAGGAGGGAGAGAGAGAATCTTAAGCAGCCTCCACACCCAGCGCAGACCCCAACTTGGGGCTCCATCTCACAACTGCAAGATCATGACCTGAGCTGAAATCAAGAGTCAGACACGTAACCAACTCAGCCACCCTTGCACCCCCCCATGTGTTATCTTAATCAATCCTTACAACAACCTGGAAGGTAATTCTAAATTATTCTCTTCACATACCTGTCCCCCAATTTTATAGATAAGGAAACCAAGTGATCAGAGAAGTTAAATAAATCATCAAAAGGAGAGCTGGCCTTCTAACCCACATCCTTCTGACTCCAGGGCCTATGTCTTAACCACTAAGCTAAAAGGGTACATCATGACTCCTTTCTGTTGCTAGTTAAGTGGCTGCTTTTTTTCCTGTTTCACATTCTGCGTTGGTTATTCCCTCTTTTCAACAGCTTTGCTCTGTTCCTTTTTAGGTGCTGTCCCTACCTCTTCCCTTCCTCTGCTTCTCTCAACTAAAGGAGTAACCTTCCAGAGACCAGGTAGGAGGGTTTTTAGGTACAAAAAAATACATTCAGTAACCGTGTCAGGTAATCCCCCTTCATAGTAAGAAAGGCCACTCTGTGAAGTGTCACCAAACGTTGCAGGGAACAGATTCAGTCCCTGCACCCTGGGGCAAGCATGCTCAACATGGAACCAGTTTCACAGCCTATTAAGTGCTGGTGAAACCTCTTCCAAGACAGCGTGAGAGGCAGGGAGGTGAAGAATGTGATGAAGAATGAAAGAGCATGTGCCTGTCAGAGTGTGTGTGTGCATGTACATGTATGTATGTGTGTGTGTTTGTGTGTCTCACAGGGACAGAATGATAGACAGCATTCTGACAAAGGCACCATGGGAGACTTCACTCTGAGTCACCTCCTGAGTCGTGCAGTTTGTGTCTGTGCTCCATCTCAGAATCTGTGGGACTGAGGTGTGTGTGTGTGTGGCTTTTAAGGCCTTGCCAAGGATCTGTGGCTTAGCTTCCAGCAGAACTGGGTGCAGAATGCATGTTTCTACGTGTTATTGGGGTAGGTTCCAAAACTATAAAGAAACAGAATGCAATCTTGTAGGAGTGCCAGTACCTCTCCCTCTGCTCAGAGAAATGCAAAGCAGTGCACAGGGTGTGGGGTTGAGGACTAGTGTTTGGGGTCCAACCAACCCACGCTAGTGTAGGTAAACCTGGCTGCTTCACGGCACAGGAAACGTTCACGTGTCTCTCCTTCATCTGGCAGGGACAGCTCCCTTTACTGAACTAACAGGTGGCACTTAAAAGTGCCATTAAAATGCTGCCAACTCTGAGTCTGGGCATCCAGAACTGTGAACGAAGCAGGAAGGCAAAATGGAACATGGGGGTGGCAAGGCAGTGGCAATGCGGAGGGAAGAGAGTAGGTGGGAGGAGGCTGCATTAGGGTCTGCACGGCAGGGAAGGTAAAGTCCTTCAGAAACTGGACACCTGCCAACCATACAGAACATGGATGGGTGTCGCCACTGGAATTGGGCGCTGGTCTAGAATGAAAGGACCGCTTCTCAAGGAGATACTCTAGAGCCAGGCCTCAGCCCAGCACATGACACAACCACTTGTGGTGGCTGCAAGTGTTCCTTGTGAGTCAGCATTATGAAGCTGCCCCTTCCAAATGCCTGGTGAACTGAAACCTGTTTGCAAACTTGTTTCTAAGCTGAAGGTCTGATTTTAGCTTCCAGGAGATGGAAACTGAATCTGCTTATTTGCTTTATGTGGCCTCCTGCTAGGTCAGCCCCCACACACCGTGTTTTTGTAGTTACTTTATATATATATACATATGTATATGTACATATATATATATACATACATATATATATATATTTATTTTTGAGAGAGAGACAGTGAGCACAAGCAGGGGAGTGGCAGAGAGAGACAGAGAGGGAGACACAGAATCTGAAGCAGGCTCCAGGCTCTGAGCTGTTAGCGCACAGCCTGATGTGGGGCTCAAACCCACAAACCGTGAGATCATGACCTGAGCTGAAGTCAGACCCTTAACTGACTGAGCCACCCAGGTGCCCCTTGTAGTTATTTTAATAAATACTTTTTGCTGTGAGTGATAACAAGGTGTTTGTATTTGCCCTACTGTCAAATTCTCCAAGGAAGTATTTTTCTTTCTTTCTTTCTTTTTTTAAATGCTTATTTAGTTTTGAGAGAGAGAGAGAGAGAGAGAGAGCAAGCGGGAGAGGGCAGAAAGAGAGGGAGACACAGAATCCAAAGCAGACTCCAGGCTCCAAGCTATCAGCATAGAGCCTGATGGGCAAACTCACGAAATGTGAGATCATGACCTGGGCCGAAGTTGGATGCTTAATCAACTGAGCCACCCAGGTGCCCCACCAAGGCAGTATTTTTCTAATTTTTAAGACTGTGGAACTCTTCATGTCTCTGAATCCTAAAGATTTTTTTTTTTTAGGTGAAATCACTGTTTCTAAGGAAAAGTTCTAATTTGAAAATGTAGGTATTTTCTGTGTATCTTTAAAAGAAGTTTCCTTTTTTTTCCCTTGTGGAATTTTAAATGACTGTATAAAACACATTTCCAAGAAATACATTTTCCTTTCTCCCATCACCAAGAAAGAGATACATAGAGATGACATTTTTGGGTATGTATGGCTGAGCCAGGCTGCTCTGCTGGGCTCAGAGCAGAAACTACCACCAGCAACACCGTTGTAACCAAGTGTTAACCACCTAAGAAAGGGCACATGGGTAAAAACCACAATCAACAGCTCTGATCAAAGTAA